TGTGGTTGTAGGACTGAGGTCCTCGAGGATCTCAGAGTCTTCCTGGAGGCCTTCACTCCTGACAGGCAGTTCATAACATGGCTGTTTGCTTTCTTCCTTGAGCCAGAAGGAGAATCTCTCTGATGCTTCATCTTCTTTAAAAGACTCACCTGATTAAGTCAGGCCCACCCAGGATAATCTCCCTTTTGATGAATTTAAATTTAACTGATCAGTAATCTAATCACTGGAGTGATATTCCATTATATTCACAGGTCTTGACCACAGTTAAGGGGAGGAGTTTATATTAGGGTGCAATAATCACTGGGGGCCATCTTAGAATTCTGCCTATCACACCTCATCCTAATCTAGGCCCTGCTTTTAAATTCATGAAAAGATGTTCAATGTCATTCATAATTAAAATTTTGTTGTTGTTGTTTTTTAATCTATCATAGTGGCAAAGATCAAAGAGGTAGATGATAACCAGTGTTGTTCAGGGGTGGGGAAGTAGGTACTTCATACATTGCTGGGAAGTGCAGATCTGTTGGGGGGGCAATTTGGCCAAATTTACCGAGCTGGTCGTTACCCGACTGCTGTTCCAAGCCTGGGTGCTGACCCTGTGGGCTGTATCATCCTTGCCCTCTGGCTTCCGGTTGGGTCTGCTGGTGGGAGGCACCAGCAGGAGACAGGAAGGTCAGAGGAGAGAGAGGTCTGGGCACATTTTCCTTACTCTCTACCTGCTCTGGGCTTCTCTTCTGGTAATGGCTGCAGCCCTCCTCCACCACAGCTCCTGCCGGGCAGCCCTCTTCCATGACCACCATGACTTTCTGCCTTCCCCTTATCCATTCAAGTCTAATGGTGGTAAGGCTAGTCTCTGATGCTCCATCGTTTCTTATTCACTCCCTGAACCCTGGTGACAGCTCTGTAACTGGTCCTTTCATTAAAACCTCTTCCTATGAACCACCTGGGTTAGATTCCGTTTCCTGTTGGACAGATACATCTACCAAAATGGAAAAAAAAAAAAAAAGCTTCTCCCTTTGCTAAGCAATTCCATTTCTAGAATTTTATTCTACAGTAAATTTACATATAGTACAAAGACATCTGTAATTAAGGATTTGCAGGCATAGCTGTTGCAATGGGAACGAGAGAAATGGATGGTAGTGCAGCCAAACAATGAAATACTTTGTAGCCATAATATACTTTTAACTGGGATAAAAAGAAATACTGTGTATGGTATGTTACAATTTGTGTTAAAAAGGGGGCGGCACAGGATTAGGTATGCATATATATGCTTGAATGTGCATGGATTTTCTCTGGAGTGACACAAGGAAGACTGGTGACAGTTTGCCTTTGAGGAGGGAAAATAGGGGACTGGAGTTCAGAACAGGCAGATCGTATGTTCCTCCCCTGACGCGGGACTTGGCCATTGACTTGCTTTGGCCAATGGAATAATAGACATGACATTGGCAGAGACCTTAAATGTGCTTTTGCAATTTAGTTGGGCTCTAGGGCTTCTTCCATTTCCCCTCTAAGAAGTTTGCCCCTGGCTGTACCGCCCCTTCAGCCTGGGCCCCAGAATGAGACATAAAGAGCAGACCTGAACCCAATCCACAGCTTGGAGCCATGCTCAGTTGAGCCCAGTTTACCAACAGATCCTGGAGTCAAAAATAAAGGGCTGGTGTTTTAAGCCACTGAGCTTAGGGAGGTGTGTTACACAGCATTATTGCAGCAATACCTAACCAATAAGGGAGTGTTCTGTGGGATTTGTGAAGCATGGGTATGATTCGTGGGGGGTGTATGTGTGCAGCGCTTGTGTACTTTGTGCAGGGGTAAATGTTATACCACACAAAGAAAAGCAAGGCTTCGTGGTGTGTACCGAGCTTGTACTCAGCCCCCAGCCAGAAGGTCCCTCGGGTTCCCCTGCAGCGAACCCCACAATTCACAGCCCTGCCTCTCTCTGACTTGCCAGTGTTTTCTAGGAAGCTGGTGGCAGTCAGACAGGGGTGTTTGTTCAGCAAACCAGGGAAGGGGTGGCCTAGCCGAGCCCAGCCGCATCTGACCACACACCCAACCTGTGTGTGCCTTGGCCTCAGAGACTTCAGTCCCCACAGCGGGGCTTGGCACTGCAGGAGGGTCCCACACCACAGCCCCAGCGGGGACAGAGAGGCTCTGTGTGGAGCAGAAAGCTGCAGTGTGCACCTCAGCCAGCTCGGGCTTTGTGAGGAATGGGGCCTCGGAGCTCGAGGCCCTCCGGGCATCGCTGCAGGGGTCCATCTTCCTGCTCTTGTTCATGACCATCCCAAGAGTGACTGATTGAGAGGGCGAGCTCGGAGTCAGACTGTCCAGGCTGTGTCTCAGCTCCATCAGCTGTGACTTTGACAAGTCACTTAACCTCTTGGGCTTCAGTTTCTCAACTTTAAAATAGAGATCGGAATAAATTTATTCTTGTAAAGTGCTAGGAACAACGCCTGCTTTTTATTGAGGGTGTGCTGCCTGCCAGGAGCTGTATGGAGGAAATTACGTGAACGATCTCACTCAGTCCTTGCAGAAACCACCTGACTCAGGCTGGACTCCCCCAGAGACAGCTCTTGAGACAAGGATTCAAGTGAAACAGGTTATTTGTGAGCTAACTCCAAGAAACAAAGTATCGGGTGGGGAAGCGAGACAGGGAAGGCCAGCAGTTAACCACCATGGCTGCCTGGGGTTCAGTCTTGCTAGGGAACTCTGGGAGACAGTGTAGGACACACATGTCAGAGTTATCCCAGCAAGGGAGCTGGAGTATTTAGGCACCAACTCCCACCAGTCATTGGTTGACAGCTGCTCCTGGAGGTGGGTGACCAACCTACTCTGTTTGCCCAGGACTATCCCAGCTTGGAATCCCTGGGTGTGGCAAATAATTAAGCTCTTGACTACTAACCGAAAGGTTGGTGGTTTAAATCCACCCAGAGGTGCCTCGGAAGACAGGCCTGGCAGTCTTCTTCTGGCGGTCAGAGCCTTGAAAACCCTATGGAGCAGTTGTACTCTGCACACTTGGGGTCACCATGAGTTGCAATCAACTCAACAGCAACTGGTTTGGTTTTCATTTTTTGTCTGGCTTCAGCGCTGAAACATCTACAATCCGGGGAAACACCTCAGTCCCGACCTGGATAGCTGTCCACACTACCTGGAGGGCATTAATTCCCCAGCACTTCCAGCCTGTCATACAGCAAGGTAGAGAAGGCTCCAGGGCCAAGGGTAAGCCCTCAGGCAGAGAGGTGGGTGCTGGCAATGAGGAGCAACCATGCACTAAAATGGTAAGGAACCAAGGGGATAAGGTCCAATCTCATTTTAGAGGTGAGATAAGTGAATCTCAGAGAAGGTAAGTAACCTGTTCAGTGTCACACAGCCAAAAGTGGTCTGGGGGCGGGAGGCTCAAACCCAGGCCTGTCTGATGCCAAAGCCCATAACCTTGACCACCAGGTTCCCGGGTCTTCCTTCCACAAGGCTGGTGAGGTTGGAAGAACACTGGAGATCAGCTAGTCCAGTGACTGGGAATGAAAACAGCACAGGCAGACAGGCAGCATTCAAGGGGGACATGGTAGGCAGGTGTCAGACAAAAGGAGAGTGTGGCCACCTCTAAAGGGGGCAGCAGCTACTCAGCTTGGGTTGGTTATTGCCACCTGGGAATGAAGGCCCAGTTCTGCTAAACCATCCAATGTTCCAACAGAAGCTGTATTCTTATGGGAAATCTCCCAAGTTTTAATGTTGTCAAAGAATTTTCTAGAACACATTGCAAAACCAACCCTGTGTGGACCAAACACAGCATATTGGACCCTGGCTGCCAGTCATGGCCCTGAATCTTGTCCAGTGGCCCCTCTGCCCACCATGTAGGTGAAGCTGGGAGTTAGTGTTGATCTCTTTCCTCAAAGGAGGTTCCTACAGAACCAGGGGCTGGCTCAGTGTGTTTGCAGTGCACAGAACTGCCTCACTCTGAACTTTATTCATTTTCTGTCCTGATTTCTTCCTGGCAGTTTCCTCACGTGTGTATCCTCAGCTGACATCAGTCACAGGCTGGTTGTTAACAGGGCAGTCAGTAAATAGCTGATGCCTGGAGTCCACCAGTTAACCCCTGCTGCCCTGACTCCTCTTCCCTAGGATCCCCAGACTGCCCTCCCTCCAGCAAGTCCAGGATCAACTCCTGCACAGCAGGGACCTCATCCTCTGGCCAGTGGCTGGGGTTCCTTCTCATTCTTCAGCACCCTATCTGGACCAGAATCATCCTCCTTTCTCTCTCTCACACACACACAGACACACACACACACACACACACACACACACTTTATTTTAAAATTATGCAACCATTTTTGAATCCTTGTTGAATCAAGGATGGCTATACACAATGGTGCGCTGGTAAATGTTTAACAGCCAGCTCTCTGGGAGAGGGAGGAAGCCCTGATCTGTAGCGTTTGCTGATTTCCATGGTGTAAATACTGGCCAGTTTCAAGCTACCAGCATGACATGACTGAGCATGGAGTTGGGAAGAGGTGAGGTGTGCAATAGCACACCAGAATATAGTGTTTACCATACAGACACAACATATAATAACATCAAGAGCATAGGCAATAGTAAAATGTAGTCAACTAGGAAGTGATGAGTTCTGAGTACTTATTACTTTTGTTTCTAATATAATTTTTTAGTTATTGTTGGTGTGTGCTGTTGAGTTGATTCTGACTCATAGCAACCCTACAGTTAGTTTACATAACTTCATTTTTAATAATGGCTGTATTTCCCAACCAGCTGAATTCCTGAAATTCCTGAAAGTTTTAACAGTCAGCTCTTGTAAGCTGATACAAGGTGGCTCCAGCACATGGCTGGATGCATAAACCCAGGGGCAGAGAAATAGCAAAAGCATGTGCTGGGTGGTCAGAGGACAAGGATGTGAGGGAGAGTCACCACCATCCATCCTCAGGCGTGCAGTTCAGGCCTCTCTACCTGAATCCCCTACCTCCACTGCTCCCCAGCCCTGCCTGCCTGGCCCCACCTACCTGCAGCAGGAAGTCGAAGAGTGCCAGGCGTGCCCACTCGGCGCGGTGGATGCCCAGGCATAGGGCCTGGCCCGGCCGGCTGCAGCCGTCAACCAGCAGGGCCTGGTACTGCAGCCAACCTAAGGCCAGAGAGTTCTGGTCGTCGTTAGGATCAGCCAGGTGCTGCACGTCAGGCACCCACCAGATGAGGGGCCTTGTGCCACCATCCGTGTAGCGGTACGGCAGCAGGGGGCTGTGGAAGCGCCGGGCCACTGCAGGCAGGCTCCGCCGCAGCCCCAGCACACGGTCCACATGGAAGGACAGGACCTCAGGCAGGTCCCCAGGCCTCTTGATGAGGCCGCAGAGCCCCTGGGAGCAAAGCTGGCCGAGCCCGGGAGCAGATGTGTCCTGAAGGGCACCCTCGACAGAGAGGCTGACCTGCAGCACCTGCCCATGGCCGGGGACTCGGGCCTTGCCTACCACCTCCCCACGGGCCAGCAGCCCAAGGGTCTGCACATCATGCTCTGTGAACCATGGGGGAACCTGCCTGCCAGTTCTCAAGCCTGTCAACAGCCCAGGCGTCTCAGTGTTACACCAGACAGAACCTTGCAACTCCCCAACAGAGCCAGGCCACTGACGAGCCCCCCGGGCCGGGCCAGAGTCCCTGGCATGTTGCCCACCAGCCAAGGCTCTCTTCTCAGCTCCTGGCAGCTCCCTGCCTTCAGCTGGGTGGGGCTGGAGGGTGGGTCCAGCAGTGGCTCTCCAAGTCCGGAAAGTGGTTATGTCGCTCCCTGTGAGCTGGCTGACCAGGGTGCTCGTCTCGCTCTGTGTCTCCCGGATGGGACTGTCTGGCTCACAGGCTTCCGAAGCAATGTCCCTCCTGACCCTACCTGGACTCCTGCTGTCCCCTCCTGGGGACTGCTTGCTTCTGTCCACTCTCGCTCTGTGGCCTTGCTTCTCAGCACAGACCAAGTTGGAGTTCCTGAGCAAAGCCAAGCCTCTCCGGAACCCCAGGCTTCTTGCCCGCTGCCTCCGGCTGAAACTCAGAGCCTGCCGGACATGGGGAGCAGGGACACCCGTGACCCACTGCGGCTCCATGGAACCAGGGTCCGGGCCAGTGGCTGGACGCAGTGAGGGGAAGCGGGTGACAGCCACCGCAGACAGGGTCATCAAGAGGCAGAATGTCACCACTGACCGCCTCTTGCCACGCAGCCTTCTCCAGAGCCAAGATGCCTGGGGGTGGAGGAAGTAGAAAGAGAAAGTTTGAGACCTGGGAAAGATGTCAGCCCCAACCCACAGAACAATGGGGACAGAGACAAGGGGCCTCTGGGTACACTAGGGACTGAAAAGATCATAGTCTAGGTCAAGAAGCATCTAGCTGCTTTCTAAAGAAGAAATGGGCAACCCCAGTCAACCCTATCCAGACTTCAAAGCTTAGCTTGCTCTGCCTCCTTGGGTAGCCTCCTCTGATGCCCGCAGGCAGACAGGCTTCTCCTCTGTGGCCTCCACTGCCCTTCAGTCAACACCCATTAGGACATGGTCACCATGTACCATAAGGGTCTCTTTCCACATCTGTCCCCCACCACCAAGTCCTGGCCTCTCTTTTCATCTCCATGTGATCTCTAGGGCCCATGTGGCAGACTCTAGGTGTCCCCACAAATATGCTCTTCCCTTTTTCCAGGGCACACAGCCATCTAGCTAAAGATGACTTTTTCCAGTCTCTCTTGCAGCAGCGTGTGGTCATGTGACTTAAGTCCTTCCCCATGGCGTGAGAGTCAACCACTTTTGCCTGCCTCACTTGCTTAAAAGGAAACTGGCTGCCCTGGCCTTTCTCTCCTCCCTTTTTCTGCAGGTTGGCACATAAATGAGGCAGCACCAACTCCATACATATGTAGGAGGGGGCCAAGTAGCATTGAAATCAGCTGGTTTTCATAAAGCAGATGCTCTTCTCAACTACCAGATAGCCAGGCTACTTCCTGCATATATGGCTGGTAAGCATGGTTCTTTGGGTATCACGACCTCGTCTGCTTCTCTAACCCTGAGGGCCCAGGCGGGACCTCTGGACCACAAAGATCACCCCCATTTCCACACCCTTTTTTTGCATATAAGAGATGGGGATTCTGCTCCTCAGTGTGTGTCTCTCACCTTCAGCTGTATTTTTGTTGGTGCTTTCTGAGATCTGCCCCCACTGGGCTCTCTCCTCCACTCTTTCTCACTTCAGCTACCACTGCTCCTGCATGAACTCAACTGCTTTTACATCCCTCCCAAATATTCTGGTGTCTACCTCCTAATTTAGATGAAAAAGGAATTTGCTTTTTGTCTTCCATTGTCTTCCTTACTTTTAGATGGTTTCCAGTAGAAGAGGAGAATGCAGAGTTTATGCAGCCGTGTTCCTCCCAACAGTCCTCACTGGCACGTTTGTAAGAAGGAAAGGGGCATTCCTGTACAGAATGCAGTGACTGGGCCAGCCCACAGACAGTCACTCCTTCCAGCTTCTGTGCTGAGGAGCCACAGCACCCAGACAGCCTTGGGAATCCCAAGAATCTTGCTCCCTCTGCACATTTCCACAGCATCCAGGACAGTACACCAACTTTGGGTGGATAGAATCCAACCACCAGGTGGGCTGACCACTCAGCACCCCTCCCAAGAGACACCCTTGAAGCCCACCTATCAGAGTTAGATTTTTAGGCGTCAGGGAGACAGGAAGGGGCACTAGAAGTCCTCCATTTTATAACTAACTAACTAACTCTCTTTCTCCTCAAAAGCACCTCTCCTTCTGTTTCCAATCTGGCTAAAAGGTAGTTGTTATGTATACTTTTGTATACAGGTTCTCAAATCTCATAAGCATTTTGAATCTTCTATACTGCTTTTTACACTGTTGTGATGTTTTTCTAATGCTTTTAAAAATACTTATGTATAAGTCACTTATAATGTGAAGTTAGAGAATTTCTGAACTTAGAAATAGAAACATATATATTTCTATAACACTTTTAACTATTAACTGTAAGTCATTAGAAAGTCGTTCTAACCTTGAAAATAGATCATAGAAGTTTGTGAAGTAGGTCATAAATAACTTCTCTAAATTGGGCTATGCACCTGCACTCTGTCATAACAACATGTAACATTAATCAAATCTCTATAAATTGGCAAAACACAAACATGTCAAGTTCTAGCCAGAGCAATAAGACAAGAAAAAGAAATAAAAGATCCAAATTGGAAAAGAAGAAATAAAACTATCTCTATTTGTGGATGATGTGATCCTATATATAGAAAATCCCAGAGTCCACAAGAAAACGCCTAGAGTTAAAAGGGGAATTTAGAAGACTTGCAAGGTCCTCAAACAAAAATCAGTTGGGTTTCTATACAGCAGCAATGAGAAATATGAAAGGGAAATTAGAGAAACAATTCCATTTACAATAGCATCTAAGAGAATAAAATACCTATGACTAAATCTAACTAGGGACATGAAGGACGTATACAATGAAAACTATAAAACACTGCTGAAATGGATAAAAAAAGACTTTTAAAAATGGAAAGATGTTCCACGTTCATGGATTGGAAAATTTAATATTGTTAAGATGTCAGTATTATCCAAAGTGATCTACAGATTCAACATAATCCCAATCAAAATTCCAACAGCCTTATTTGCAGAAATAGAAAAACCAATCTTCAACTTTATACGGAATGGCAAGAGGCCCCAAATAGCTAAAACAATGTTGAAAGAGAAGAACAAAGTAGGAGGACTCACACTTCCTGATTTTAAAATGTACTATACAGCTACAGTTAAAAACAGCCTGCTGCTGGTAGAACAGTAGACACACAGACCAATGAAATAGAATTGAGAGTCTATAAATAAACCCACACATCTATGGTCAACTGATTTTTTACAAGGGTGCTAAGTCCATTCGATGGGGAAAGAAGAGTCTCTTCAATAAATAGTGCTGGGAAGATTGGATTTCCACATGCAGAAAAATGAAACAGGATCCGTGTCTCACACCATACACAAAAATTCAAAATCGATTAAGGACCTAAATGAACAAACTAAAACCATAAAATTCTTAGAAGAACAAGCAGGGGCAATGCTGTCAGACCTTGCTTTCAACAATGGATTATCTAGTATAATAACAAAAGCACAAACAGCAAAAGACAAAATAAATAAAAAGGACCTCATAAAAATTAAAAACTTCTGTTCATCAAAAGACTTTACCAAAAAAAGTGAAAAGACAAGCCACTGACTGGGAGAATATCTTCAGAAACCATATATCTGACATGGGTCTAATAACCGAAATATACGAAAAACTTCAACAGCTTAACGACAAAAAAGATAAATAACCCAATCATAAAGTGGGCAAAGGGCTTGAATAGATGTTTCACCAAAGAGGACATTCAAATGGACACCAAAAACATGAAAAGATGCTCAGCATCATTAGCCATCAGAGAGATGCAAATCAAAACTACAATGAGATACCATTTCACTCCCACTAGGATGGCTAAGATTTAAAAAAACCGAAAATAACAAATGTTGGCAAGGATGTGGGGAAATTGGAACACTTATACATTGCTGGTAGGAATGCAAAATGGTACAGCCATTGTGGAAAACAGTGTGGTGGTTCCTCAAAAAACTAAAAATAGAATTACCATATGACCCAGCAATTCCACTCCTAGGTATATACCCAAAAGACAAGAAAGCAGAGACTCAAAAAGAGACTTGTACACCAGTATTCATTGCAGCACTATTCACAATAGCCAAAAGGTGGAAACAACCTAAATGCCCATCAACAGATGAATGGATAAACAAAATGTGGTACATACAAATAATGGAATACTACTCAGCCAGTAGGAGAAATGAAGTCTTGATACATGCTACAGTATAGATGGAGCTTGATGGCATTATGCTGAGCGGAAATAAGCCAATCACAAAAGGACAAATATTATGTGACTTCACTTAGATAAAAAGACAAGAAAAGGCAAATATGTAGAAACCAAAGTTTATTAGTGGTTACCAGGGGCAGGAGGAGGGGGACAAGCGGAGTCAACAGTGATGAAAAAATTGCATTGATTAAGGGTAGGGTTGCACAGCCAATTATTTTAAGTGCTGTGAATAAGTTGTACACCTCTAAAAAGTTGAATCAGCAAAAGTTGTATGGTAGATATATTTACAACAATGACAAAAATAAAAATAAAAAAAGAGTAGCTGCTGAGGCTGCTTATGTACAACCAAACATCTCATAGGATTTCATGGTTTCATGGGATATCCCAGTTAATTGGCCTAATAATGTGTTTAGTGCTTTTGTTCTACCACCTATTTCGTTGCATAGTGCCTGGGGTCTTAAAAGCTTCCAAGTGGCCATCCAAGGCACAACAATTGTTCTCTATTCACCTGGAGCAACAGAGGAAGAAGAAGAGTCAGGAATAGTGGGAGGAAATGGAATGTGTGGCAAATTGCCTCCATGAACAACTGCTTCCTATGCCAAGAGACCAGAAGAACTGGATGGTGCCCAACTACCATTACTGAACATTTTGATCAAAGATTCCACAGAAGAATCCTGATCAAAGGGGGAAAATGTAGAACAGAATTTCAAATTCCCATGGACTCTAGACTTTCTGGAGCCATGGAAGGTGGATGAACCCCTGAAACTATTACCCTGAGATAATCTTTAAACCCCAAACCAAAAATATCCCCTGAAGTCATCTTAAAACCAAGTTAAACGTAACTAGTAAAAAAAGGTCTGCCTTGAGCATTACGCTCTTTTAAGAAGTATCTGTACGGGCTAAAATTGACAACAGCAACTTGAAAGATTAGATAAGAACCATATAGGGTAGTGAGTTTATTTTAATAAGGGGGGAACAACTCAGAAAAGGAGGGTGAGAATGGTTGTACAACAGAAAGAATGTAATCAGTGTAACTGAATTGTACATGTAGAAACTGTTGAATTGGTATATGTTTTGCTGTGTATATTCTGAAAAACAACAAAAGAAATAAAATTTAGGAAAAAATAAATAAATATGTAATTAAACAATTCCCATAATTTTTAATTAATAACCTGGCCTCCAAGCATATATAATAAACAAGAACATAAACTGGCAATAATTCAAATCTCTATAAATTAGCAAAACATAGCTATGTTATGCAGCAATTCCCTTAACTGTCAATAAAATAAACCAATTATAGTTAAACATGACAGCACACGTATAAATGCATGGATTTCTGCTTATTTTTGGAGAAGACAAAAACAAAAGTTTTCTCTGACTGTAAATTTGACCCTATTTTAAAATAGTTGTTTTCTTGTGTTATGTTGATGAGGTCATACCAGTGATATTTCCAAGTGATGTCTTATAAAAAAGGAAAACAGACACAGAGAGACCCACAGGGA